GGATAATCACATATCAAAACAATTATTCTATGGATGTATGAATAAAACTAAAATACAACTACAAAACCAAAAAATATACGAAAAGCATGGCTTAAGGATTCAATAGATATACCACTCATTACCTAATTGAAACGAAGAATGCACATAACCTATTAAAATGGATGAGACCTTGCGAGATAAAGATGCAAGTGACTTACAACAATAGATGAGACCTTGCGAGATAAAGATGCAAGTGACTTACAACAATAGATGAGACCTTGCGAGATAAAGATGCAAGTGACTTACAACAATAGATGAGACCTTGCGAGATAAAGATGCAAGTGACTTACAACAATAGATGAGACCTTGCGAGATAAAGATGCAAGTGACTTACAACAATAGATGAGACCTTGCGAGATAAAGATGCAAGTGACTTACAACAATAGATGAGACCTTGCGATATAAAGATGCAAGTGACTTACAACAATAGATGAGACCTTGCGAGATAAAGATGCAAGTGACTTACAACAATAGATGAGACCTTGCGATATAAAGATGCAAGTGACTTACAACAATAGATGAGACCTTGCGAGATAAAGATGCAAGTGACTTACAACAATAGATGAGACCATGCGAGATAAAGATGCAAGTGACCTACTACAATAAATGATACCTTGCAAGGGAAAGTTGCAAGTGATCTATTAAAATCGAAGAAATACTGATAAGAGAGGAACGTTCTTTGATGAAAACAGGTGCAGTCACATAAAGCTGAAAGTAGCTGTAAGAAAGTGACTGCCAATTGGTAATGACAATACACTTTTCTGTGTGATACGTGTAGCCATGTCTGTTGCTTTCAAATTGGCTTGGCCAGCTCTATGTGTAGCCATACAAATAGGCGCCTCGGTGTGGTGTAATGGTTAGCGGGCTTGTCTTGCTAGAACCATTACGACTGAATAGTGTGTTTGATCTTCACTGGGTGTCCCATAATTTAGCCCTTGTGCGACATTTAAGCAACTCTTAAAAAAAAATCACCATTAATACCGCAAATTACTATACGCAACTTATTAATCTAGTCTTAACCTTTGCCCTATCTGTAATAAAGTATGTAAAAATAATTTCGGATTAGTTATGCATGTGGAATCTGGCAGTGACATTATATAATCCAAAACAAGAGATTTTGCATCGAATTTGTGAAAAATAAAAGCGTAAAGCCCTTGCAAGTCTTAAGAGTCATACAATAATTCACTGATTACAATAATTTTAATCAATTTTTGTAAAAAGAATTCTGTAGCAATAATGCACATTAATTTTTAATTTTGTAATATGTTTAAAAATATGTCTAGAATTTTTTTCATAACATTTTTCTCAAATAAAACTATTTTTGTGACAAACATGTACGATTTAGTGCAAATTTAGTATAGCAGTGTAAATTGTCAGTGTATTTATCTTAAATTAAACTTTTTAATATTTTCACCTAACGTAAGGCAGTAAAGCCGCTAAGACGCAAGAGGTTAATAAGTAGGAAAGTATATGAGAAAAATAAAAATATTATTAAGAAGAGAGAACAATAAAAGAAGAGGAATTAAGAAGACTGAAGATAAAGATTGACATTGCATTTACATTTTTGAAGATCAAATTTTACCGGATGCAAGGAACTAGAATAGAATTCCATAAGGGTGAGAGAATAAGTTGTTAACATAGAACTTATGGTTACATTTAGTCAATTCAACTGTAAAATGATGAGACCTAACTGCCAATCTAGTATGCTCTGAAATATGTTAATGTGTTAGAAATAGTCATACTCGATAAACGAAGCGACAACAGTCATCTATCTATCTATCTATCTATCTATCTATCTATCTATCTATCTATCTATCTAGATATCTAGATATCTAGATATCTATCTATCTATCTCAGTTTTTCAACTATGTATCTATCTATCTCAGTATTTTTACTCTATATATCTATCTATCTAGCTATCTATCTATCTCATTCTTTTCAGTATCTATCTATCTATCTATCTATCTATCTATTTCAACCTTTTCATATATCTATGTTGATATATATCTATTTAGCAAGCCAGTTCTCAATGAGAACCAAATAGTGTATTCAGACTTTGATTTAGGCAATTCAACTGTAAAATGATGAGACCTAACTGCTAATCTAGTATGCTCTGAAATATTTTAATGTGTTAGAAATAGTCATACTCGATAAACGAAGCGAAAACCGTCATCTATCTATCTATCTATCTATCTATCTATCTATCTATCTATCTATCTATCTGTCTCAGTCTTTTTACTCTATATATCTATCTATCTAACTAGCTATCTCATTCCTTTCACTATCTATCTATCTGTCTATCACAGTTTCTTCACATCTATCTATCTATCTATCTATCTATCTATCTCAACTTTTTCATATATCTATGTTGATATATATCTACCTATTTAGCAAGCTAGTTCGCAATGAGAACCAAATATTGTATTCAGACTTTGATGTTTTTTAATACTGTTTCTGGTCTCTTCAAAGAATTAATTTTATAATAAACACTAATTAATGATTTCGTTTTAATTGTGCGATAATTATCTGTGATTAAAAATGTTTTCAGAATTCATTAGTTTCGTATATTTAAAAATCACGGTGGAGTAATAAACAGCAACATGGACTGAGGCATCAGAGTACCGAGTTCGAATTCCATTCTAGTTCGGCGGAAATACCCGTGGGAAATTTATGAATCTATCTCCACTCTTCTCCAGCTATAGGTTAAAAAATAGCAGGAGAGGTTGGGTTATATATCCTTGGGTGACAACTAAATGAATGACTACGCTGAATTTAAAACTTCCATCTGTGGGTTGAATGTCATTACCAAGCCGCCAAGCGTAGTAAATACGGTTACACCCTTGCTGGCATACAAAGAGGGCGAGTTTTTATCCAGCAGCTGTGAGAAAACCTTTCATTTGCATTATTCTCCTTCAGATTTTAAGGGCCGAAAATAATGCGCCATTAAAAAGATCCTAGGGTTCTTTTTTTTTTTTTGTTTTTTTTTCAATTCTCAGTGATTCTAGATTCTTGTCTTGGTTTCAGTGTTAGCAAAAAGCAAAACTTGTATACATTTTTGGAACGCTATACAAGGTACGATGGGTAAATTGTCGCCATTAATTTCCCTCTGACACATGGCACAGTGGATAAAGTCGTTGGTTAGATCCAGTGACAGGACCCAAAGAGTGCGAGTTCAATACCCGGTTAAGGCAGTGGAGAGGGAAATTAACAGGAGATAACTGATAACTGACATCCATCAAACATGTCACGTGGGACTAGAACAGTCTACCCCGATGAGCGAAATAAACGGTTCAGTTCGACATTCCAACCACCTGAAGAAATCCGGAGCGTACAACGGCCGAAACGTTGTGATAAATATGGCGACAAAGATGAGGACAATAGTCCGAATAATGTAAATAATGTTTTTGGAGTGATTACTAATGATGTTGATATATGCCTCCATTCATCTTCACACAAGGCCTCAGACTCAAAGCGGAGGCCTACATCAACTGTCTTAAGGAGGTACTGCTGCCCTAGGTGAAGATGGTGGCTCTGGATGACCCTAGTACTGGCAGCATGCCACAGAAGCAGCAAACCCTAGTTATGGCTGTCAGACAATTTCTGCGACCACATCACCCCTTACATCTCCTAGTTCCCTAGACTAAAAACCCCTTGATTATTATGTGTGGGGCGCAGTTGAGCGAGAGACCAAGAAAACTTATAAGACCAAAGATGAACTGACGGCAAGGAATATGGCGGCATTCACCAACTTAAGCAAGGAGATCGCCGAGAAGAACTGCAGGAAATTTTGAAATCTTCTGGAGGCTGTGGTTGAAGCCAATGGCGATTTCATTGAATAAATTTAGTATTTCAAGATATTTTTGTGCAATTTTAGTAAATATATTTGTTAAAATGAGATGTCAGTGCTATTTTCATTTTTGCGTCATTTAGACGACGATTTATCCATCGCAGTCTGTACAGCTAGAGAAAAATGATAAAAAAAAAATCCTGTTTTAAGTCACCGATTTCTTCTCCATCAAAGGACGATCGACGGTAAATGAAAAGAGAGACGCGAAAGTAAAATGAAATTGATGATTATTCTGATTTATCTTGTTGGGTTTCAAAGAGATTTGCAAAACTCTCTGACAGGAGACAGAAGAAGAAAAAAAGATTCTCGTGTTGAATGGAATTTGCAAGTCAAGAGTTGCGAATATCTATTAATTCCTGACGTGATCGGCGATACAGGACACGTGATACGATAAAAACACATGCAAAGTCACATCAATTAAAAGGAGACACGCACACACACACACACACACACACACACACACACACACATATATATATATATATACATATATATATATATATATATATATATGAGAGAGAGAGAGAGTGAGTGAGTGAGTGAGTGAGTGAGTGAGTGAGCATGGCAGTTGGATCAGAAAGTCGCCTGACAGTATTTTGATCAATTTCTTTTTTCGTATTTTAATTGATAAGCGCTTTGGGTTAAGTGCGTTGACAAGGAATGAGATAAATATTCCTGCTTGAAAACACATATTCACGCAACATCATCTATATATATATATATATATATATATATATATATATATATATATATATATATATATATGTATGGACACATACATTTTGCGGATATATACAGAAGTGGAGCGAGAGAGAGAGAGAGAGAGAGAGGGAGAGGAAGAGAAAGGTGATGGGAATGAGAAAGATATAACTAAACATAGATAGATAGATAGATAGATAGATATGAAAAGAACTGAGATAGATAGATAGATAGATAGATAGATAGATAGATAGATAGATAGATAGATAGATAGATAGATTCACCCCGACACAGATTGATGTCAATCGACTAACTTTGATATATGTTATACGGAAATATTTCTATCTTTCATTTGTGCAAGAATGAATAGAGTCGCCTCCATTTGTTCGTTAATAATGAAGTCATGGTTGCGTGAATGTTTTGGCCATCGGAATCAGTATTTTATTCAGAGATGCTTTCTGGCTATTAAAGAAGACCTGAACTAGAAATGGCTTTCTGTGAACTTAAGTGTTTTGCCTAATAGCCTTTTCATCTTGTTTCTTTTATATAAGCGTGTTATTGAGTTTCTACTTTGTTCATATCTAAGTCTATTCATATCTATCTATCTATCTATCTATCTATCTATCTATCTATCTCACTCTGTTCCTATGTATCTAGCTATCTCACTCTGTTCCTATCTATCTATCTATCTATCTATCTATCTATCTATCTATCTCACTCTGTCCCTATGTATCTAGCTATCTCACTCTGTTCCTATCTATCTATCTATCTATCTATCTATCTATCTATCTATCTATCTATCTATCTCATTCTGTCCCTATGTATCTGGCTATCTCACTCTGTTCCTATCTATCTATCTATCTATCTATCTATCTATCTCTCTCTCTCTCTCTATATATATATATATATATATATATATATCTGTTCCTATGTATCTAGCTATCTCACTCTGTTCCTATCTATCTATCTCACAGTTCGTATCTATCTATCTTTCTATCTATCTATCTATCTATCTATCTATCTATCTGTCTGTCTGTCTGTCTGTCTGAGTCTGTTCATATATCTCAATCTATCACCCTAATTTATTTATTTAACCTAATTTATCTATCAATTTGTGTCGTTGTTCAGCTATCTATCGATAAAAAATACATCCAAAGTAATAAGCTTCGCTTTTCAAGCATCAGAGCCGTCTTCAGATCTCTTCATGGGCGCTTTGTCAGAAGTTGCCTACGTCGGCCTGAGTAGGCCGTCCCTTGGTGCGGTAGCTTTGGAAAGTCCCTGAAAATCATCCCCCACCCTACGAATTGACCTAAGCCTTATAAGTAAGACGGAACTGTTTAGAAACAGACGGTGATTGTGCTAACACAATGTCACAAATCATCGTGACCGAGATATCATGACTGACTTATTTTTATCATACCAGATGATAGGCTCTCCACTCTAACTAAGATCCGCTTAGCATCGTTTCTGTGTAAACCATATGTAGACTCTGTGACTATTGAACAAACACAAATACGCCTGAGGGATTTGGGTTAGCCGACCTAGTAGTGGAGTATGCTCGGAAAACGAGTAACTGTCCACTATCTGTCAATATTCACATGACTAATTTTGATTTGAGATGCGAGGGAGGCGCTTCTGACCAAGTGTGTGGGCTTCTCCGTTGCGCAGAGTTGTCCTCTAAAATGAAAGTCACGCAAACGGCCTTGTTGAACTCTCTTTGACTTCGCTTTCTACTTGCTGTCAGGGGCCCCCGACTAGTGCAACCGCCTCCACCACCCAAACTCCTCTATGAATTCTACTCAGGACTTTTCATGAGTCTTCACAGCCATCTCCATCACCGCTACCAGAGCGAATAAGAAAAGAGGATGATGATCCCGATGATCAGATGCGAGCTGGTGCCGACGAAAAAGAAATATTCACATCTATGCCTTTCTTATCTTACAGATTTTCCTTCTGATTTTATACAATATATTTTAAAATATTTACCTGTCCATTATATCAGAATTCTAATCGTGTTAAAGTATGTATAAAAAAATCAGTTCCATAGAACATCCGAGGTAGCAGCCAAAGCTTAAAGCGAATGGCATAGGGTCAATCCCTGATGCGTGAGACACATCAAAAGGTAAACACTGCCGAAGACTGAAAGATTTTATTATTAATCCCATCTAAATACCGGTTACATAATTTCAACACGGCTTGCTTTCCAGTTGTCGTTCGATTGAACCAGCGAATAAATGCACATGTAAAAATAATGTATTCTTGTCGACATTCTATTAAGTTCACAGCGTACAAACATGATTTGTAAATTGTAGAATATTCATTTAGATTTGACATTCATGCTTAATTAGTTCTGTTACTGAAATTGGATAAGTTTATTAAAATTGGTGAGTTTCTAAATCCAAAACGAGGAAAATGTCAGATCAAAGGAATCAAATATAATATCAATTTTAAATTTTTTCTATATATTTTAAATACATAATTTATATTTTAAATACATAATTTATATTTTAAATACATAATTTATATTTTAAATACATAATTTATATTTTAAATACATAATTTATATTTTAAATACATAATTTATATTTTAAATACATAATTTATATTTTAAATACATAATTTATATTTTAAATACATAATTTTAGTATATTTTGAGTATATAACGAATAAGAAAGATATTAACAAGCACTATGAACATCTGAGAAATACATGCTAGGTAATATTTTAGACCTATTAAATATTAAATAGTAAAATGAGAATTTAAATTAGTCGTTCAGAAAGGAATAAAATTTTCCATTTTGTTCAATTTGCATATTGCCAAATATTACGCGTTTCAAGTGAAAAACGACAATAATTTGTTGCACTTTACGAGAAAGATAAATCCTAAATGTAACCGGCTGATCGATGGGGCATCATGGGTAATTTTTCTATTAATTTTGTTTTGTAGGTGGGTGGTGGTTGGATGCTTATACGCTTTAGGAAGTATTTGACACTTTTAAATGTCTATGTCTATAGCTTAGTTAGGTCTCATTTAAATACACACGGAAACCTACCAAAATCTATCAGCAACATATTTGTTGATAATACAAATGTAATAGCCTCATCAACATGTAAAAAGGCTAAAAATAATGGAAATAATATTAATAAAAAATAAAAAGCCAACACTCAATAATATCAACTATGAAAACAGCCATTTTTTATGTTTATATGTCCTTTTTATAGATACAAATATTTAAGTAAATGCTCTGTTTATAATAAACAGTATTACCGACATTTACTAGCCTGAATGATCGAGCCTGACGTGCTTTTACCGATTTAGCCACAGAGGAGCGTTTCGGTTGGGCAAGGTCGATTTTACTGTTTTTAAACTACAATTCTCCACGATTTTCTCTCATACATTCATATCTACTCGATGCGTATCCAGATGTAAACAAATATCTTAGATTAATTGTTGGGATTTGTCCATTTTATAATGAGTGACGTCATTATTTATATTTGGCTCAATCGGTAAAGCACGTCTGGCTATATGACGATTCCGTATAGGATACAGGTTCGAGTCCTGTCGGAGGATGCATATTTTCTATCAAAATTTCCCGGACATTCAGGCCGGAAAATGTCGTTAATACTGTTTGTTATAAACAGAGCATTTACTTAAATATTTGTATCTATAAAAAGAAGGTATAAACATAAAAAATGTCTTAAAAATAATTGTCGGACTTTGTCCATTTCATATATATATATATATATATATATATATAGCAAATAGGTACACGTGTGTGTCTAAGTAAACTGAACTAAAATACAGCATTTAACTCAGTATCGTCATTTGAAGAACGTCGGATAAACTCTAAAGGAGTTCAGAGAGTGACTCCTATTTTTGACCAATCATCTGTTAGTGTAATCGACCATCTCGCCGTCCATTCATGCATGTCAACCAAATTCCGTTGTCACAAAAGTGAATATACTTGATTGAATAGTTTGAATAAAATTTATCGGTAAATTATCAGCCAATCAGAAAACAGAACTTATTTTTTCCTGGAAACTTGATGAAATCGGCTTTTCTAAATAAAAAAAAAAATGTAGATTTTTGCAGTAGTGAACATTCGCAAAACTCTAAAGAACTAATTTTTCTTCTTGAATTCAATACATCAATCTTCTATTAACTGAGCTGTATCATTTATCTGAAATGATTAATGTCATTAATATTCAAAATAAACCATAAAACTACTGAATCTTTCCTGGAATACGTGAGCACTTATTGACCCCGAGGCATAAACAAATATATACATATATCTATAATAATGATTGTTTATTTAAGAGTAAAAATTCCTTTGCCCTTTTCCTTCCTTATTGTTTTTTTGAAAAGATTCATTTGATATATAAGTTTTTAGTCCTTGTTTAATTTCAATTGCATAGCTGGATGTGTTTATTTGAATAATAATCAGAAGAAGACCAAAGGAGAAACACTTAAGAAATAATAATAAAGACTGTTCTGCAAGGCTCCATCCTAGGCCCTACTCTCTTCCTTATCTTCATTAACGATCTTCCTGACATCATAGGTTCCCAAGTAGGCATCTACGCAGACGACACTACAATTTACTCCTACCTCAAAAACAAATCTAATGTCGTTGACAAAATTAACCTGGCCGTTTATCTAAAAAAATATATACATTTTTATTTAAGCGCCGAAAATTCCTCTACCCTTTTCCTTCCTTATTGTTTTTTGATAAGATTCATTTGATGTATAAGTTTTTAGTCCTTGTTTAATTTCAGTTCCATAACTGGATGTGTTTATTTGAATAATAATCAGAAGACCAAAGGAAAAACACTTAAATAATAATAAAGATAATAAATTCATTGAAAATAAATTAAAAATCCTTTTTATTTGATTAGTTGACATCATCTCTTCATCTCCCAGGCATTTATTGACCTGAGTGATCGATATCAACTGCTGGTTTTAGTCTTGAAAATCATGGCCTTATGTTCTATTTTATTTGAATCAGCATCACAAGTGCACAAATTTTAGAAGCTGCTGACAAAGACTGTGATTCACAGTGAACACTCATGAAAAATGATCTTGTGTCAAAACTAGGCAAGTTTGACAAAATAATAAAAAATCAGTCAGTCATCTGCCATACATGATACACACTTTCTGCAGTAAACCATCCAAGGCTATAGAACCAGGTCTCTCTGGAATGAGAAGAGAATGATTCATACCTTTCCCAAGGGTATTAGCACATATGTGATTGTAATGGATCCGACTGGAATTCGAACTCGGCTCTACGATGCCTCAATCAAAGCTGCTATCCATTACACCACCATGTATAATAACGCAGAATTACTTACTAAATAATAATAATCCATTGAAAATAAATTAAAAATCTTTAAAAATCCTTTTTATTGGATTAGTTGACATCCTTAACAGAGGAGGAGATGTTTGATGACTAGTAGCAAGGGCATTAATATTTGTTTGGAAATTGGGGCGTTTAAGCCATAATGTATTGGCCCTAAACATCGACTGACCATCTCTTCATCCCCGGGCATTCATCATCCCTGTGGATAGTATAATCGACCTTTAACATTGATAGTTATGGATAGACTTTTAATTTATTGATTGATTTTTATGGCTTATCAACCCTTTGGGGTTATTTAAAGCCGAAGTATATTTTGGATTCTAAGATTATTTTTCTTTTATTTTTAAGACCGCATATAGCATTAACAATTTTCCTATAATAACAATGATCTTAACATATACAATTCAAACTATTTAACCCATATTTGGAAGATAAAATAGACCCATACATTTCCCAAGAGTATTTAAGCATAAGTGGATGTAACGGACCCGACTTATTCCGATCCGCTATCCATTAAACCAGCCGAACATCCTATTCGATTGGGAGATCAGTAAATGTTGAAATAGACTGATAATAAATTTAATTCAATATCTGTCAATTTGTAAGATATTGGCCGACTCAAGACGATAGGTGAAAGACATGGAGTAGAGAGTGATACAAAAGAAAACGTAAAAGTCAGATTGATATTCGCCAGAAGCAATCTTACATATTTATAAGTCTACCATTT